CGCTGCAGAGAAACATTTCAGATGAAAATGACTTTGACAAGTTAACAAGGCAAAAAGCTTCCAAGGAGGAAATCGGTAGTTGTGTAAGCCACATAATTACAACAGGTAAGAATATATTCAAAGAAACAAAGCGTCTCCTGTGCTCTTGATTTTAATCTTTTCATGAATAGTTCAGTTTTATTATGTAGCATTTAACCTGCCATTAACACATGACTGAAAAACAGTCTGAGCATTAATGCTGAAACTTTCAGTGGTGTCTATTTTCTTCTGCCAGAGATGTAATTTATGCCCAAGTGCTCTGTTATGCAGTGAGACAAATTCATCCTCACTGGTAGTCACGAACTCCTTAGGTCTTATTGTTTTGAATCAGAGGAATCTGATTGGATTAGACTATAAGAGATTGTAACATGACACTGAATTTACATCACCACAAATTTTGACCTCAAATGAATTGCAAAGAGGATAAATACGGTCAGGGTCTCAACAAGAAGCTACATCATAAGATTCTTCATCAGACTGATTGCCTCCAGGCACTAAAGTCCAACACTGGCATAAAAGTGAACATGTACATGTACTGTGTTGTCTTTTCACTGGAAAAGCTGATAAAGCTAGTAATTAGGCTCAAAAGGCTAAAACAAAAGAAAACATGCACAAAAATCTGTTTATTTTTATTAAAGTCTCATTTGTAATGAGACAAAAAAGATTATTGCACAAAAAGATTATTCTTGTGGAATTTAGTTTGGTGGGTATTACTGCTTCAGCAGCTTATGTTTTACTCATATTTCTAATCAGCAGCTGTGGGCACAGAGGTCAGGGAGAGAGGCAGCTGCCCCTAACTGAAAACCTTCTGTGAATTATATTATGTTGCAGAATCCATTAAGAGATTACAGGGAGAAATGTTGGGCTTTGCACAGATTATTCATTTTACTTGTTTGTGTGGGTAGTTCTAAGATGAAGAGCCAGTTAATGGAGTGACTTTTGTAAGATGGTTTGATATTTGTTGTGAATTTGTTAAGGTTAAGTTACATTTCAGGTAAAAAATGCCCTGCTTACTTTTAGGTGTCAGAATGAAAGAGCGATGATGATTGTAACACCACTGCACCAGGGTGGAATAAAACTGATTCTTTCTGAGCTCTGCCTGCACACCAGCAGACTTTTATTGGTGGAGATGATACAGAAGTAAATAAATGTGGCTTTGACTCAGGAAAGCAGATGGTGGATACTCAGCCGCAGGGATTCTGGAAGGCTTTACTCCGTCTACCCTTTCTACTGAACAACAAACCATTTTACTCAACATTCCACAAGACTGGGTATAATTTATGCATTGCTCAAGATACAAAAACATTTTCAGTGCTGTATTGCTCAGATTTGTACTGATGAATGCTGCTGAAGGGCTTTAATATTTTACATAATTCTTCAGTAGCACTTCCCTCTGGCTTTACCAGCTTGTTAGACTTGCAGTAACAAGCAAGCATCTAATTTGTTGTTGCTAACCTGAGGACAAAGAATTCTTTATGGGAACTGTAGCTGTCTGTGTCTTAAGTTACGACGAACTGTTGCCATCTACTGTATGTTTCCAGTGGTGCAACAGAATCATTCATGTCCCATGTGAGAGGAGGTGTGTCCTGTTCTGTGTCCTATTGTCTATCTAGCAGCAGGTAGTAGGGGGCGGAGCTAATCATGCCAATTAGAGGCAGCTGTGCCCGATATTTCCTATAAACCTCCACTCAGGGGCTGTTTTTGTTTCCTTCACTCCACTTTTCACTCATTTGTATCTGATGTTTAATGCTTTGAGTTCTTTGCAGAGATAACGTTGTTGATTGCTATGATGTCTTATGTTGACTATTCTGTATTGTACAGCACTTTGTGCTCAGGTGAGCTGTAAAGGGCTTTAGAAATAAAGTTTATTATTATTATTATTGTTTGCCGTTTGTTCTGCTAATTAGTACTTGGCAAAGTTAGGCTTAGTGGCTTGTAGGGCTTGTTTTTTGGCCTTTGTGTTGTTGGCAGGCTTTGGTTGGCAGGCTCAGTGTGAAAGTTCTAAGCTTCTAAACGAAGTTGAGGTTATTAGTGATTCTAGTTTCTGAATGGAGACCTCTGGGGATTCCCTGTTGTGTTGCGCTCTGTGTGTGTGTGTGTGTGTGTGTGTGTCCAGAAACTGAAAAGAGACCGTTTTGCTTTGTTTATTGTTGCGTGACAATTTGTTACAGACCCTATAGTTTTCTGGTTTTATATGCGTAAAAAACAAAATCAGTGGGTACAAGCTGTTTGTGCAATCTTGCTGTAGCAAACCAGTGCTCCCCTGGTAGTCGCCGTGGTATCACCTCTTTTGGGTTTCCTCTTTAATTTTTTTTGTGTGTGGCGGTGACCATTTTTAGAGTATTTTTAGTTACTACCCACTTATCACTCGAACAACAAAGCACTGCTTATGTTGTAGCTTGAGCATGACAAATGGAAACAAAAGGCCGAGATGTTGGAAAAATTCTAAGGAGGCTGAGCAGTGCAAACATGGTGGAGAATGTAAAGTTTCAGCTGACGGCCTATAGGCACATTTGATGTGTTGGGTAAGTCGTGCATCTCGCCAAAGTGTTTTGTCTGAGTGTGCGGCTGTTGAGCTTTACTGTACAGACTCAGCGCGCAGGAAGCATTTGCACCATGAACTGCTGCAGATAGTCAAACAATTGTGACAGCGGCTGTGTTGAAGGCGTCTGACTTAGTCCCAGAAGCCTTCCGACAACGGTTTAGGACTTGGACAAAGAGAAAAGCAGTCATTTAGCGTTTGCGCGTGATGTGACAACTCATTTCACGCAGCAGATGTCTTGTGTAGTAAACACCAGTGAACGGAACGCAAAGCTGTGGCTGACTCATCCATCAGCGATGGCTGTGTTAACGCACGAAAGCGTGATGGTGCTGCTGATGGGCACTTCCAGTCAGTTTGAGGAAACAGTTTCACAAGATTTGGGAAAAGCCTGTAACTGCTGTAATGGACAGCACATCAGACCGGCGGCCAAGTAAATGATGGGGGTTTGTCCGCAGCTGTTGCCGGCGATGTTTTTGCAGTTGACGCACATTGGCTCGTTTCCTGCTGGTTTGGACTCCTATCTGCCCTTTACAGGGTATATATTTATAGCCAACAGTGAACTGAAAGTGTCTTGAGTATTCGAAGCACAGAGACTTTTGGTTATTTTATTCAGTCAATGTTGCCATTGTCTAAAGAATCTGAACGTGGAAGCTCCGTCCGTGGTATGAACGCAAATGTTTTGTTCCGATGATCAATGTAACACTTGATTGTAATCTGTTTTAATAATAAACGGGCAGGTGCGCGCGTGTGGACAGATTCGTCCGCCGTTGCTGGTGGTTCCTATGCCGTTGACTTATATAAGAGCCAGTTGGAAAGGAGTGAATGAATTAGTTTGCGCACACAATTTGAACAGGTTCCTCAGTTGTACAACCTCAAACGGCCAAGTGCCTGCGTTATGTCAAAGGTTCAAGCTGTAGAGCAGTAAACTGCTGCTCTTTCTTGGCCTAGTTGGAAAATATAGAAGTTTCTCCAGAAACTGTTCAGTGGTTGTGGCACCTCACTAATTTGCTGAGGGAAAGAATTAATTTGGTCCCCTGTGTCAAAAGGCTTTTGAACAGGTTAACACTGCTTCTGTTTCGTCATATACTCATTTGGACCTTTTTATAGCAGGTGGATGACATGGGAACACAGTTATTTCTCATTTTAGTTAACTCTTCTGGTAAGAAGCTCTGGCTTTAATGGCTCTGAAACTGTTATGGCTCTGAAACTGTTTTAGCAGTAGGCCTCCACTGGTAGTTTGCACATCCACTGACCTTTGAACTCTGCAGTGTCCTAACTAGAGCTTAATTAGGTGGTCCTTATTGCTGCAGTCATACTGCTTGCTTGTCCTGTGAAAAGGTGTGACAGCTGATGGCAGATGCGTTGTCCAGAGCTCATTTGTCACTGTTAAATACTGTTTTGTTTTTTTGTTTTTTTCTTAAATTGCTTACTAGGTGCTCCTTTGAGGTGGAGACCTGATGCAAGTAATGTTGGCCCTCGGAAGGTGATGTTGGTGCCAGAAGCGGTTTGGGTAATATGGTTTATTGTAACTCAAATTTGAGCTGCATTCCCTTGGGACCCTGTTCATGATCATCCCCTGGCTCCTTTACCGGTTCTTATTTTATTTTGCAGCAGGTTTGAGAGCAAACCAAGAGGCACCTGGGCCCAGTGCTTCCTGGCGACGCATTCAGTGTCCACTTTATTGGGTACACCCATACAGTTTTTATGCAATTCAATGGAACACTTCTGCCTTAACATCTGTGTTCATGAAGCCCAATGTTTCAGTTTTTGGTGAAATTATCAAATGTAAGAACTGTTACTATTGTCAGTTAAAGGTGGTGTTGTAATAGTGGCAGCTGGAAATTCCCACTCAGCCTCAGTTGTCTTCTCCCACACACAGCTTTTATCCATCCAAGTGATTTCACTCATCTGTACACATTCACTGCACTGATTACCAGACCCTAGAGATTTAGTCTCTACTATAATTAAAATGCTAATAAGAATAAGGACCTGCAGGTGCACAGTAAAGGAAAGTTTAAAGCATTTCCCAGGTACCACAATACAGCAGTGTACAAATCTCTCTGCATGCACTGTCAAAGTGTTTTATTAAATAGAAGCCATCATACTGATTAACACTGTTCTACTGGAATACAGAGGGACAAGCTGTAATCTGACATCGTGTGGATTAACATGAAGAGCATCTTCCAGCCACACAGCTTCATGATCTTCACCGTCTTCCAACTGGGTTGATTTACTCAGTCACCAAATTGACATTCATGCTCCATCTCTAACTCCACATGAAGCAAAATATGATTAGCACCTACATGTAAATCTCAAAAGGTTAAGTAAAAATCGTAAGAAGACTTAAAAGATTAGCTGCAATAATTTATAAGCTCTCATCACACTCAATAGAAAATATGCAGTTCATTTTGCTTAAAAAAAAATATTAATGAAGTTTTATAATATTTAAAGTACACTGATATGATTTAGGCCAAGGAAAGAACTTACCTTCCAGCGGTTACCACATTCATTACACAGGACAAATGTGGTCATTGGCTCATCAGCGCTACGTGTCTGCACCTAATACATGCACAGGTTTTAGAAGCATAAGCAGTACATTAGCACAAATGACATGAAAATCCTGAAAATCATTTACACTTAATGGCCTAATAACCCAATATTAACTCAAGTCTTAATGGAATATTCCATGTTGATACACTGGCATGCCTTAAAATAACTGAATTTAATACCACAACACTAAGGCAAGCCTTGAAATTTAACTTTTTCCTTTATTAAAACAATACGCAAGTGTCAATATCCCACTTGGTCTCTAATTGGCTCAGTGTGGGTCTGTAACAAGGTGTGTAAGGGTGAAGGAATCCTCACTATTTCTCTGTATTTTGAAGTTGTGAAATACTTCTGTTAATCATGCCCACTCCCTGTGTAAAAAGTTAAGGAATTGTGCTATTTCTAAGGGAGCTCCCTAATGATTAACTTTGCTGTCCAGGTACCGTGCACTGGCACATATGTGCATGTCTGTTTACCTGGTTGTAGGTGCAGTTCTTCTTCTTACACTTGCCGCACTGCAGCAGGTCAGTGGTGGTGCCCCCAGTTTTGGCCATCTGGTGCTCCCTGATGGCCTCCTGGGTGAGAACGTTTCTCAGCTGTTTCAGCTCATCGCTGGCCATTTCCTAAACAAATTAAACATGTGTAGAGTGAGCAGAGGGGATGTTGTGAAGTAAAGTGGGGATGAGAGAGAAAGGGTGAGAAGGCAAAATAAGGCAGATCAAGCAAGCACAAGGAGATATGTCTAACCAAGTGTTGCCATGTACTAAAACACAGTTGACAAATTAAAGATGGAGCTGCAGCATTTGGTACCTCAGCAGACATGGCGGCAATGCGGCTCAACTCGATGCTCCCTGCTAGTACGTTTCTGCGAAGCCCAGGGTTCTTGGGGTCCTTCAAGTTGCTGATGCGACTGCGGACTCTGTTCTTATATTTCATATCAGTAGCCTTTATCTCCTGGTAAATATGTGCAACCATGTAGTCAAGGGAGAATTAATTCCACTGTGGTGCATAACTGATTGTAGTAATAATGTTTAATGGGATGCCTTCCATTTGGCCCATCATTGAATGAACAGCAGATTAGCCAAAACAACCAAAATGGCAAATAAAGGATATGATCTTCGATCTCTGCTGCCATGCCGTCACAGTTCGCTGCAAATTCTTTGTAATCATCTGTGAAGACCACAAATATTTCATTCAATCTACAATATTTGTGCATGTCCTGTATGTAAAACTTTGTCAGCATATTAGTTGCTCTAGTGTGTATTACTCTCTGATACAATGTGATCTTGGCCTCACCGTCTGTGCGCAGGGCAGCTGCCAGCATCTCAATGCACTTATCTCTGATGGAATTTCCAGTAGCCAAGTGAGGGGACAGTGGAGCCCCAGCAGAGCTGAAGCTGGGTGACACGGGGCTGGTTGGGATTGTGGGTGTTTTTGGGGCATCGGTTTTAACCTTTCTGCAGAAAAGAACACATGAAAACATATAAAACTGGAGATGTCATAGCTCTGACACATTAACATCAGCTTATCAAGCTGACATGGCTAATGTGTTATCAAACAATTGCCACTTTACACATTAGGCAGGCTTTTCATAAGCATTCATCTGCGTCCTTGGTCGCCTAAAAGTCCAGTATTCACTGTGATTTAGCTCTGATTTTGGGCTCGAATTCAGAAAGGTATCCAATGTTTTGTTGCTAAATGCCTGACTATGATAGTCATTGTCTGTCTGGTGCTGGCCAGGTAGTGCAAAGTGAGTTTATCATCAAAAGAATTTGGCTGCAGCTAGACATGAGGCTGATTAGAGCAGAAACACTAGTAAAACTGCAGGCTGAGAAACAAACAAACAAAAAAAAATAACAAAGATGCCCCATGGAACAAACTGTGTCCGTACAGCAACATGCAGTTTATTAGCATTAGCATCTTGTACTTTATCAAATTACCTTTACTTTAAATGACAAGGCCGGTCGTTTTCTATATCGACATAATTTTAAAACACTCCCCAAACAGAGACTTAATAACAACAATGATTTGCCTCTACTCACTCGTAATGTCTGCAAATCTGTCAGAACTGGATTAGCTTGTTTTTCTGTGCCACAGACCTCCAGCGTTATTCATCAACAAAACACACCACTGTCCTTGTCCAGTTTCCTCATTACAAAACACTATACCATGATATTTTTTGACAAATGTTGCCTAAAATCTCTAAACGGTCAGCCGATAATACAACATTAACTGTGCCAAAGAATGGTAGAGCATTCATGTGGCAGTTAAATGATATTTAACCATTATCTGGCCCCAAAGAGGGGGGTGTCAGGCCAGGCCGCCATAAATCTTCAGAGCCCCACAATAAGCGACACCATTTTCCAGACCTAACCTTCCCTTAACACACAGCATCCCTGAATCCTCTCCTCACCCAAGCAAAGAGCAGATATGCATTGTATTTGCTCAGGTTAAACAGTGACTGGCCCAACAGGCTTAGTAGGCAGTCACATCCTAGAGCTAGGTCTGCTCAGTTGTCCAACCATTGACACTGTTCTACCAAGATTGTCTAACAAAAGAAGACTATTAATTTCATTGAGTCTAAATGTATTATCACCAACACCAATACAAGTTCTGTGTGGGTCTAGGAGTGAAGGCTAATCTACTGGTTCATCAGACGGAAACCTTCTCACTAACTGGTGTTTTGTTGAATTGGGCCCATGGTGTGTTTCCAGTGTCCCAGAACCACCTCCCTGTTAGTCTGCACCCACACGCCCTCCATCCACTCTCTCAATAATTCAGGCTGTTAACAAAAAAACTAAGCCATAGCAAACATTTCAAATGCTGTCCTAGCCAAACATTTCACCAGCCAAACTTCTGCTTCCATTTGTTCTGCATCAGAATCCACCCTGTGTTACTAATCATGACAACAAACCAGCAAATGTGTAATACATCCTCATGTTAGCCTGCTCATGCTAACACCAGGAAGTAGGCCCAAGCCAGCATGTAGCAAACATTTTTGTTAAGTGTGACCTCCTATGCTAGTTTAATTCAGTTTAGCAGGCATAAGCCTCACATATGTTCCAATTTGTTCAAAAGGACCCTACCTATTTTTTACCCCATTCACACAGTTTTCTTCTGCTCCAACGCCACTCATTGAACCCTCCTGCACTGTTAGCTAAGTCCTTGGCTATCTTTGGCTCCGCCCCTTTATACCCAACTCACCTAGCAAAGAGACAGCTGACTTCAATCCCCTAGACCCAATATCTGCTGGGCAGACTTTAACTTTCCAGCCACACTGCTCTGCCTCCATGGCTAATTCTGTGCATTTCAGTTTCTTCCCCTCATGAAGTGTATCTACAGCGTCCTCCCAGAGAACTGTAAGCTCGACAAAATACACTGTCCACAACACCAAGGTCTGGTCTGAGGTTAGTGCCGACTATCTCCTCAGGAACTATGAGCTGATTCCCTAAATCTACTTTCATTTGCCAGTCTCCCTCTGCCTTTAGCTGGCCTGCACCCTGCCTGTTCAAAATGACTTGCTTCTTGCCTTTTTCACCCTCACAAACAAAATGCCCTCTTGGTTCTTTTTCTCCTCCATAACTTTTCATAACATCTGAAGCAAGCAAGAATCAACTGCCCATGCATGACATCTCTGGATATTCTTAACATACTGTATATTAGGGTCTTGTGTTTCATAATGCTGAAAGCTGTCACCCAGTGCAGTGGTGCAGTGGTGCGTTTCCCTGTTGTGTTTTTAAACAGTAGTGGAGGTCTATGGCACAGATAAGCAATTCACTGTTGGTTTTAATTTCTGTATGGAGAGTGTTGAAAATAACCAACCTTATCCTTTCAAGATTGTGTCAACTAGACTGAATAGAAAATAATCACTATCATCATCATAAATCATAATGAATGGCCTCAATACTGTAAAAATTATTTGTGTTGAAATACCTTTCAATGCTATCAGTTGAGGGCTTCCTCTGCAGAAGTGCAGGCTGAGAGGTCTTGGACCCGTTGGACTCTCTCCTGTAATACAAAATGAATGCCATCACCATCATTCTTCACACTGAAAGAAACTGTCAGAACTTAAAAACTATTTCCACATGCTCAGTACTTTGGAAAAAAGTGAGTTATTTCTGCTTCATATACCTTTCACCTGTTAGCTTCTTAGCTGGTGGTGAGCTGCTTTTCTTTGAGTCAGTCGACTCCCGCCTAAATAATGATCCACTTTCAGTAAATCAGATTTTAATGACGATGTTTATTTCTAAATAATTTAAGTGAAAGTGAAATTTTAAGTGATGAAAAATATAATGATAATGAAGACTGGTCCTACCTGTCAGGTTTGGAGTCAGTTGAATAACGTTTCACAGGTTGGCTGGGCTTCGAGTCACATGACTCCTTCCTACAACAGAAATCAAACAGAGCTGTAACATATCACACTTTGTTAAAAAGAGCACACTTTGGGTTATGTCAGACATGAAGCGGTTTAAATAAAGATGCAAAGTATAGCAGGACATGTTTTTCTGCTCCTGCACACCTGTGTTTTTCTTTTTTGACATCCAAACTGAGCTTTTTGGGGGGTGGAGTTTTAGAGTCAGAGGAATTTTTCCTGACAAAAGGAAACATTTGTGTTATAATTCTGAAACAAATCCAGCCCAGGCAGGCCAGTAAAATCATAATACGCTTATGTCCTCATGCACTGAAAACCAATAAAGATCTATTTCAAGATGCTGAAGTTGAACCACACATCCACATGTCACACCCACAGCTCAGCAAGCATCTTCACACTCATGACTTGCCAACCTTTCTCTCTTGGCTTCATCTGAATGTTTTTTAGGCACTTTGTTATCCGACGAGTCTTTCCTGCAAAAAGACAACAGTCTTTGTGCCAACAGAAAACTTAACAGAAGCTATGATCTTTTTACAGCAAGTTGTTTTACACCAGTTTGAAATAAAGGCGCAAGTGTCCAGAGGGGTCCCATTAAATGTCAGGATACAAATACTATGAAAATTAAAAACCTTCCTAAATTATCTGGAATATAATCTGAAAGAGCTAATATACACTACACACTGCCGTACTGGAATATACAGCATATACATAATATAGTATGGTGTCAGTATTTTATGTAAAACAATTGTGAACACAGAGATCACTGTCTGAGGTCTGATCATCCAGAGATAACAGCAAAGTTATTTTTTAAGGATGAATGAGAGACGGCGCAATTCCCAGATTGCAGACCTGTCTTTCTTCATGTGATCCGACGTCTTCTTCTGTGAAGGAGGTTTAGAGTCCAATGACTCCTTCCTGTTGTGACAAACAAAGATTCAATGCAGAGAGAAGCTTCCAAATTAAGTAAGTTATTTTTCCAAACTAATCCTCCCAGACACTTCAAGGCAGCAATTACAGACATGCTGTCTGTAATGAGAACTCATCTGGTCCAGACCTCTCTCGCTCCTTTTTCCCATCCACTGAGGAATGCTTTGGAGTAGGCGGGGGGTGAAGGTGAAGAGGGAGCGGTGGAATAGGTGCGTTTGGGTCAGGAGGCTCTTTTCTAAATGGAGAGAGACCTTTGAGCTGACTCACTTCAGGATCAAAGTGAATAACAGAAAATGTCAATGAGATGTAATACAAGTGGGTATGTGGACCCTGACCTTAGTGGAGGAGGATGAAGGTGAAGAGGAAGAGGTGCTACTGGAGCATTTGTGTCAGGTGGTTGTTTCCTGGTGTAAAAATTAACATTGGTTTGCTTAAAAAAATAAAATAAAAACTCACTCAAAAATCATTTCACAAACATGCACCAAAGCATGCCTGACCTCTCTCTCTTTCCTTCTAGTGAAGGTCGCTTAGCCGGAGGAGATGTGGATTGAGGAACGCAAGGATGAGGATGTTGTGAGTCTTTATTGTCCTTCCTGAACAAATGTCACAGCAGTGCAGATTAGAGTGGAGCACCCCAAGAGTCACTTGATGCTGTAACATGCTGTTCAAGCTAAATACGAAATCCTTTTAATAAAGACACACTTG